ATGGAAGAGACGCATGGAAATACTGTAACCAACGGACACACTTTCTACAATTTGTAATGGAAGATTTTTTTTTTAATGTTTATTTGTCTTTGTTCAAAAATAAATAAAAATTGTTTAAAAAAAGACATGAGGCAACATCAAGGAGTGTACCACACCCTCCTACATGCAGGACTCTTTCAATATTCAAATTAGTTTCCCTCCCTATCTTGGGAACATGGCTGTCACTATCATATTTGGTGCAGATCAAGTCCCAAGAGAATTAAGAGACTCAGAGAATTAGAGGGAGAGCTGGATATACATATTTTAATTTCTTGTTATTATCATTTGCATGGGGGAATTGTAGAAATATGATTAAAATGTCAATTACTATTTAAGGAAGAATTTTTAATCTTAGTAAGGGATTGTTACCAGGGAGTAAAAAAACATTGTCAAAATTTAGTGTGGCAGCAAAGTACCAATATTTCAGAACGCATTAGGAATACATTCTAAGCAAAACACCTATATTGCCTTCCTTCTTCTGGACTAATAGAAAAAAACATTTTACATCAGGAAAGATTTGGTTATTGTAGGAACAAATGAGAGTTTTTAGAGCTAGGGCTGTGCCCCCAGGAATTATATTTCAGGCATAAAACAATCACTCTGAAATGAATATATACTTCTATTTAAACAAATAATGAGCATCTTGTTCTAATTGGATCTGATAAATACTATCAGTGTCCCAGCATAATTGTACTCAAAGAGGAAAAGGTTTGTTTCTACTGTGTATTAATTAGTTATCATATCCTGCCTTTTACTCAGGAGCTTGCAGAGACATTCATAATGCTCCCTAGTTTTGTATGAAATGGCAACCTTATGATATTGAGTATCATCAGTATAATTAAATAAATTTCAGTGGCTTCTATTGCTGAATGACCTGGGCCTCCTTGCGCCTTGTCCAACATCTTAATCCCTACACCACACTGTGATGTTCCATACAGGTAAACAGTAAAAAAAAATTACAGCAATTTGTAGGCATATATTTCATAAATATATGTGTCCTGACTAGAAGATGTTTCTACTACAAAAGCTTATACATATATCTCTTTTAACTGTAGCAACAGTTATCAGGACCCGGATTGTTGTTGGGGGCAATATGCTGACTCTGTAAACCGCTTAGAGAGGGCTGAAAGCCCTATGAAGCGGTATATAAGTCTAACTGCTATCAATAGATACATAAAACACTGTTTTTTCTCAGAGATATTTTTTCATTTATTTATTTATTTATTTGACTTATATACCGCTTCATAGGGCTTTC